ATACACTTTTATCTCATTAATAAAGATGCTTTTAGATTCCTGCTGGCAACCCTTGGCCATCAATTATAGAATCACTGTGCCCAGGTGGAACAGCACAAATATATTTTTTTGTCTAGGTTTTTTAAACTAGTTGCAGATTAACAGAATCTCTGAATATGAAATTACTGCTTTTATATTGACTGGTGTGTCTTAGGGTGTTTTCATGGTTCTCACCCATGAAACACGTATCATGAGTACAACCCTCTTAAATCAGTTATTTCAAAAATGCATCTGCACATAAGCTACCTGTTAGAAAATGCTAAAGCAAGGACCCAGCCCTACAGATAATTTGGAAATTACTGTCTTCTAACCACCTGATGACCAGGGTATGTCAGGTACATTTTGCCAACAGGTGGATACAAAAATCTGTAAAACATTTATATATGTTCCCCTCACTCAATTATAATAAACCAAGTGCACAGTGCATGCTGTATGAGCAGTGCAGCTGCCAGAGCTCATGGCAGCAAACACTGTGTATTCCAGGCAATTTTTATATAAAAGCCAGGACTGAATCAATTCTGCTGTTATGTGTATGGATGCAAATGAGTAAAACTGTGCTTCACTTTTGTAAGGACTTTTTATAAGCACTCTCCAACTCTGCTGTTCCCAGAACCTGGCCCAAGTGAAGCTGTCGGTGACCTAGGGACAGACACAGCCTTTTTGCTCAGGCTTGATGCTGCTGCCACCACAAACCCACACCCTGTCCCCCAAAGTGGCAGTAACTGCACTTGGCCACCCCACAGAGGTCCCTGGAGGACCTCAAGAACTGCTGGCTACCACTTCATGGCTTTAAGCTGCTGCACCTGTCAGTGCACAGCACTACTGTACCAAATATCCCTCACTACATATACGACAGCTGTGATGGACCTGGGCTCCATGACTGTCTTTAGAGACAGGGCAAGTTAAAAATGCTGAGTTGCAGAACATCAATAAACAGCCACTGCTCAGGACAAGCAGCATAGCAATGGACTGTCCCACTGCAGCAACCCTCAAACTCCCCCAGCAGGAAGCACACGTGCTGACGTGCTGACGACAACATGTTGGGCTCAGTGAATCACATGGGTTTTAAACACGGCCCTTTTGTTTTCCCTTCATGCAAGCCAGCACAATTACACTGTGAACCTGTGCTGATACCTGCCAACAGCCTGGCTCCTAGGCCTGCAATCCTGCATCCTGCATGTCCTACATCTAAAGAGATCCAGCATTTGCATGCAGCATCCTTTAGCAACCACTCATCCCTAAGACATTTATTTGCCCGTGTGGATTTCTGCATGAGAAGTAATTAGTTACCTTTACTTTAAAAGATCTCAGAGCTGAATTAACTATGTCCTAAATACGGTACACTACAGATAGTAACTAGCAAAGATTTTTTGAAAAAATTAAGTACCGAGATCAAACAGTCTCATAGGAAATGCTTCCCTCCACTACTTTCCAAGGTGAAACTATGCCTTGTGCTAGCCAAGCACTGTATATTTTCCTAAAACATATCAGGAAGAATTTTCTTAATTACTGATTAAAATAATGATGAACACTTGGTATTATTTATGATGTACTTGCCGGGAAGCACTTGTTAGCAACACTTACACCACCATGCCAAATACATCTGTCATCTAGAAGTGAATGGGATGGTTTAGAACTGCATCACACCTTAAGTAGCTCACACATTACTTCTAACTGGAAAGTTATTGCTACAGTCACTGAAGCAAAACACAGCATCCATTACAAGCCACAGACTTGAACCGCAATTTCGCCTTTTTTTCGAAGTGGTTGGCAAACCTTGCTCTTGAAATTGAAGACAATGGAATAGTCCATCTGCTGTGATGGTAATTTTCCTGCCACCTTACTTCCATTAGAAAACACTGCTCTTCAAAACAAAAGGAAACACAGACTTGTTGCCATAACCTGTCAATCTCTGCATGCTATTTACATAGCTGCTCTCACTGGAGACACATTACACCCCTCACTCTCAAACTACCGCCTACTGAAACCTGGAAGCTTGTGAAGGTCTGACTTTATCACCGAGTTCCCGGCTGGGTTTGTTTCATTTTGTACTACAAAAATCTGTCTGAGCAGCTGCAGGCAAAAAGAGATCCCCCACAAAGTTGTTGAGGAATAGATAAACTTCACCATCCTGAAGGGGAGAGGCTTGTGGTGAAAGAACCTCCCTCTGCCAGAGCCCTGCTTCATGACAAATACCACAACTGGAAATCCCACAAAGGTTCACTCACAGGCAAGAATAGGTTTTTGAGTAAGCCAGTGAGGACCAAACCAGATGGACCATCTCAGAACACAACAGGGAATCGTCTGTCAGAGAGATACGCAATGAATTTGCTTCACATGACATCACCCTGACCAATGCTAATGGCAATGGTGTGCTGCAGGTTGTCTGGATCAAAGTCATTAATTGTGCAAAACTGCAAACACGTGAACTCCAGATCCCACAATGTGCATAGCTCACAGTGAGCTCATCACTGCAGAAAGATTTAGTGGCATTACAAAAGCCACTATTACTGGATACTGACACCAAAACCAATTATTGACAGATTGGGACTATCTGATTTCCAAATTCTCCTTAACTCCTAAAAATGGCAAGATGTTTTAATAATCCACAGCAATGCTGACCACAGAACCTGCCCAGACCTTGGAAGAAAGGAAATTGATGCTCATAATTACTGACTGAAGCCTTGTGGTCTGCCAGAACTGGGAAGCCTTTGGTGGGCCACATACAGAACTTGTTATTGAACTCCAAAGATGTACTCAAAAGACATCTTTTGGATTGAAAGGACATCTCCTGAGAGCTCAGATTTTTCTTTCCCCCACCTTTTTTTTTTTTCTTAAACTGGATGTTGTTTGATGGCAACACTGGCCTTCTTTTAGTGTGCTACAATGCTAAGCCTGTCATTCTGACTCAACTCGTTTGATTTCTGATTCTACTTCAACTAGTTCCTCTTGTTTCATGGGCTGATGAATAAGATGAAGTGCTGCTCTATATGGAATGTGTTTTTTGGATTTTGGACTTTATATAGGCTGGATTTTCAACTGGAGTTTCAGTTGGACTTGTGGTAGCTACACTGTGAGCCAGCCTATTTCTGCTTATATCTTCTCCTATCAGAAAGCAACCAATGAAGCCCTGTTGAAATCTGAAGTATATTTTAAATACAACTTACTGTTGCTGTGCCAAGAACAGTCCACAAAAAAGAAGTTGACACTGAATAGATGGTAGACGTTAAATCTTATAGGTTTTATTTCAGAAAACAAAACAGAACTTTGCAGCAGATATAGGAATGCATCTCGTATTTTGTTACAAAGTGCTAGTGTCCTACTGAAGAACCGACAGCTTCACAAGCTGGTATACAGCATGGGTATAGTATGCTCAGGTATACTTTGTGTCTCACTTGACGCTGTCATATCGTAGGAAAAAAAAAAGTCTCTCTGAAAGCAGGGTTAGCTGTACATGGAACAACGAAAAGGACGTGGCAAATGGTATCGAGGAGCGAACATCGGAGTGTCCGGCAGAAGCGTGGTGCTTGGGTAGAATGATGCCTTTCCACCCTGTGTTTTTGCAAAAGTATTAGTGGAAATTTATCTTACCTGACAGTTAAGAGTCAGTGTAATGCCAAGCAGCAAAAAGAAGCAACATGAGCAAGAGCTGGGAAACAAACCAGATCTAGGTGCACTGAGAGTTAGCCAAATTCAGCAGGTCTTTCATTGGAAGAACAAAATGAAAGCAGATGAGAAGATAGGAGTTTGAGGAATGAAGACAACTGGTAACTTGGTAATAAAAAATATAGAACAGTGACTTCAAAGTCCCTGACCGGGCATATGACACTGACAGGATATAGATTTCTTAAAATTCTTCCACTTTTTCTGCTCACTGAACCAGAGTATGATCTTTACATGGTCTTTAATGCTGAAGCTCTTCCATTCCTGGTGTTTCTTTGCAGATATACTGATGTATACCCAGTAAAAGGCAGTGCAAGATTGCATACGTTTCTTCTTTCCTGAGTAAATGGCACATAGTTAAAAAAAAGCCACAAACCTAAAGGTTTCCCTTTTGCTACTTTAGATGCAGAGACAGGAGTTCTGCTCCTATGTGAACAGCCAGTGTCTACTGGGTTCATGAAGACTGTGCTAGGGCCTTCTGTGATCAAAAAATCCATTGCAATCAAAGGGGTTTCAGGCATCCAAGGACAGAAAAAGAGAAGATCCCCGGCAGTCTAATTTTCAAGCCCCAAGAGGGTAAAATATATGGGTAAAACAGAGTTCTGGTTTAAATAAGTTTCCAAAGTAGTGGGGGACCTTTAAGTTTAAACATTGATGTCACTTGCTACTGATTTCCAAAAGAGAATCCACTTTTGAGTAAGTTCTCTTAGTGCCCAAAGACCGAAAACATAGCAAGGGCTTCTTCACGTGGGATGACTTCTCTTATACCTTTGTGGACTATAAACGAGCTTCCGAGTTGTGTAAAGAAGATAAAATCCAGAAACACAGAGTGGATACCTGGAAAGTTCAGGAGAAAAGGGAAACTTTTCTCCCACAGCCTAACTGCACTGAGTCCTGGTGCTTTCTGTCCCATAATCTCCAGCTTTATGCGATATAAATCCATAGAATTCTGGGGCGCTTGAATGGATCTATGGATCTTCCCAATAATGTCAGTAGTACAGAAAAATGTAAGCAAGAACAAATGGACAGAAGTTCTTTGCAAAATAAGTGGCATCTTCACAGTCATTGTGTAGAAGCTGAGTGGATGATCTGACAGCAAACTACAGCTTACAGTTCTGAGGATCCATATCTGGGTTTTGGCATCTTCCATTTTCAGGTGAAAACAAGCTTGCTTAAGTATAAAAAAGCCAGCAAATTCACACTGTAGCCAAAAACGAATTCTGCAAATGCTGCTATCTCAGCCATATATAAAAGTAAACAATCATTTGATAGTAAAGCAGGTGAAGCATCAAAGAAGCTCCATTTGAATAGTATTTATTTGCAATCATTAGTTTTAAACGGGAAACTGTTTACAGGCACACACTAGGTAACCAAAATAGAATGAACATAAAGAAATCTATTTAAAGGTCCTTATCAAATATTTCAAATATTTTATTAAATATTTTATTCAGTTGCATTATCACAGTTTAATGTACTTTAGCATGTTATACACATGACTTAACATGTGCACTTAAAAGTATCAAATTAGAGGTTTTCGAAGAAAGTATGACATTCTATAAATGTGCTCATTGACTTATCTACACACATCTAAGAAGGCAGTAGCTCTGTTATACCATTGATGGAGATGAACTATTGTAAGGCATGTTTACACCAAACTTCGGAGAGAATAAAGCCAAATACTAGGTCAAAATTCACTGGAAATACATGTGAGAATAGAAGTTGAAGGATTGGGCTCTAAGAAGAAAATTCATGGCAAATCAGTTGTGTTAAAACTGTCAACAGATTCTGGCTATTAAAAGCAAGCACTGCTGAGAAAGAAGGTTTTTGCAGCATCCAGGTCAGCAGGATCCGTGCTTTTTTCAGGTGTGATTTTTGAAACTCAAACCTTAAGGTGTAATGTGTAGGGAAGAGACCAAAATCTAGCAAGAAAGTTGGAAAACTATCATCTAAGAAACCTCAAGTTGTTTTATGATCTAACGTGGCAACACTTTTGTACAGAGTACATGTTGCAAGTCACTGCACTCCCACGTGTGTATGTATACATATACATATGTGCAGACACATGTACATACATGCCTCTCTTGCTTTTGTCACCTTCAAAGACCCAATCACTGATTAAAGTGTAGCAGTATGAAGGGGAAAACACGGTTTCAGTTGTGGAGGTGGAAAGAGTAGACTAGACCATTACATTCGGAATCCTGGTTAGTTAACCTGAACAGGTGTGGTTTTTCTAGTAGAGTACACTGAGGGTCTGCTGGTATGTGCTAACAGTCAAGACCCTGAAACTACAATGGAATTCTTTGGAAGAACTCAACAAATGTTAGGCTATTTGCAGTCATTTTAAAAATTCCATCTGAATGAAGGCCCTAGGTCACAGTGACGTGCCTCCCCCAGGAACATCACGCAAGCCCAAGCTTAACTCCAAGAGCGTAGTGGTCCGTGATCGGGGCTCCTGCACTGTCACAGTGCCAACAATGCTGCCCCTTAAGTAAGGAGGGTTTCCAGCCTAAGCTTAGGTGTGTTGCTGAGTGGAGATCTCATGTCAAGTCTTTCTAGATTTCTGCCTTCAAAGAATTAGTGGGGGAACATAAAATATACATCTATCTCATAAGCTTCTTCAAAGTTGTCAATTCATGAGTATATAAATGAGTATAATAGTACTTAGGTGACAGCATAAACCTCACTGCGCCTTTTTACTGGGGAATTCAGAGGAGGAGGCAAGTAACTCTTTCACAGCCTAAATGGACTCGTTCATGGCACTCAGTGTCCTGAAATGCCTCAGCATCCTGGCAGCTCTAGTTGACAGTTCCACAATATGTACAAGGTAAGGAGAATGCCACGAGTATTACAAAACATGGCAAAGACACCTAGGAGCTCTACAATCTATCAAACAAGCACGGCAAACAGACAGCATCTAATGGATAATGTATGGAATACAACACACAAGTTGCACAGTTATGTTTCCTTGTGAAATCAGGATTGCAAACGTAAACTCCAGAAGAAGTTTCAAGAGCAGCTCTTGGCTTACTCTGTCACCTACAGAAACATCAGAAGCCCACCACCCCAGGATTGCTGCATTTGCTGCTGTTACAAAATCTGATCTCACTGAACCAAGGAGAGCTAGTGGGCCCACGTCCTGCAACCCATATGACTATGGCAGAAGATAAATAAAAAAGCTCCAGCAACATAGTTTGGCTACCACCATATATTCAGCCTTTACATTTTCTGCACTATATAAATGTTGCTCTTGGAAAATAAAGCACACAGCAATATACAAATGGTATCAATGGCCAAAAAGATTACATGATCAAGCACGAAAGCAAATGGAAGTTAACGAAAGTAGTCTTTTAGGAGAGGTAGCCATATTAGACTCAGCATTCAAAAAAAGGGAGTGCACTAAAAAGGGTCAACATACATCATAGTGTCTTGTAGACCCATCATGTCTCTGGTTTTCCTACATTATTTTTTTTGCAGAATGTACACACCCAGGCAGGCGCACACACACACACACACACACACACACACACACACGTATAAATATACATCTATCTTTTTTTCTAATTCCCCTTTGTTGCCATACTGAGAATAAAGGCCAGCTTTCCTTTCATGCTCTCTCAGCTTTCACAAGTCTATAACTGTTGCCTTCAGTCTGTTCAGTATCTGTACAGTAGCTAAATAGGCAGTGGAAATTAAAACTGCTTCAATTTATTATCCTGTTGTAAAAGACAGCATCCAAACTATAAGGCATTCCCTTGTTCCTGATGTGAGTTACAACTCTCTACGTGATACAAACTGCAGAATGCTCTTCTCAGCCTTGTGCTACAGAGGCAGCTTTCACTCAAATAATAAAGACCAAAGCTGAAATTTAAACACCACAAATTCACACACTTCTACCAGTCCCTTGTTCCTGTGCCCCTTTCCAACAATGCTTATCACTTAAATTTCAAAAGTCATGCAACAATGCTATAAAATAGAAACCCAAACTACCAAGAAGTCTCTTGCTCATGACTTTGGGATACTGTATCAGTATAAAAGAGCACTCAGTCATCTTAAATAAATATATTCTTTTCTGAAATCACAGCACATTCAAGGGGTAGGTACTGCCATAAGCAGAGCACTAAATAATCTCCATAGATGTTTTTAGAATCATTTAGTCAGAAAGGACCTATAAGATCATGGAGTTTTGATTGATTTGGTCTAATATGTGGAAAACAGCCTACTGTGGGGATAAGAATCTGCATCTCAAATGTTCTGCAGAACGTTTTTCCCATATTTGTATACAGTACTAGAACAATTAAGAAGACATTACAGTAATTTTCTCCCAGCTGCTTAGATCTGTAGCTTCAGCTACGACAATGTATTTTGTTTACCTTAAAACTACATATGAAATATCGAAGATGACTAAATAAATAAAAGCCAAGGAAAACTGGGACAGTACTGCATTTTACACTTGAGACAAGATTCCCCCCTCCCATGGATAAGTCACAGAGGACGACTACAGTAAATGCTTGTCTTTTTTTTTTTTTAAAGAAAGATTTATACACAGGTTCAGATCCAGAAAATAATGTGAAATGCATAAATATTGATAGCTTTAGCTAAGTTAAAATGGGTTCAGTAAAGTATGATACAACATATTCAGAATAAACAAAGCAGAAAAGCATCATATTTTGGTTTGCTTGAGATATACATAAGGTGCAACAATTTCTTCTCTAGAGGCATTTGTGGACAATGTTTTAACAGGTAACAGTGTTTGCTGGTATACTGAAGTACACACAATAGCAATAAGATTTTCCAAAATGAAAGCAGCTGAAATTAATAAAAATTAAAACAAAACAAATAAGGAAAAAACCCAACCCCAATACAGTAAGATATTGGTCTGAAATTTTTGTTGTGCTAACAGACTTTGTTACCTGAAAATACTGATACTCCTTCTAGTAGATTCAGGGAAAATTCTAGCTACTCAAATTGAGACATCACTCAGAGAACCAACAAAGGCAAATGCCTAGTGAACTATAAAGCTTTGCAGGATTTCTGCTACTCTCAGTGCCTAATCGCTTAAAAATTAAGCATATCTACAAAAAGGTTTATAAGTATCTGAAAACAGTCATATCCAGTAAACTGACCCAACCCTACCCCCTCTCTAAGGGAAAGTCAAGGAAAAGCAGATCAAGTAAGATATTAATTTATATAGAAAAAAGTAATTTTCTGTTTCTTTTAAAAAAGGTACCATTAATATACAGAAATATCTCCAGGAACAATATTGAAATTTAAATCGAGGAAGGATGGGGTGCTTTGACAAAAATATATCTACTCTAAAGGTTTCTAGAGAAATAAGTTAGTACCATTGTCAACGTGAACGGCCTGCACTGTAACATATTTGGATTTCAGCTAATTATAAAGTGGTCCAAAACTCCAACAGCCACCCTGCTGTGACCCACAAGTTTTAAGTTTTTCCTGTCTTGTTAAAATAACTTATAAAACTTCAATAAAATCTTATTTCAAATACCGCCATAGGCTGCAATGGCATTCTAGGGGCTCTTATTTACCTGAATTTTTTAAAAAACCTTTTCACTGACTCATTGGCTTGTAAATTTTGTTGTTCTTCTGTTGTTCCCTTCTTTCAACACGTGCATCCTCAATGGTGCTGTTTCAGTGACACTTCCCCAGCTACCTGCCTTTTGTCAGACCTTTAATCCTTTCTTAAAACTCATGTGGTACACTGTATATTGTTTCCTGACACTGAACCAGAGACTTTCACTTAACTACAACAATGAAAGGCTAAACCTAGCAAGCATTAATAGAGTTACGGTCCGTATGGCTATTACATCAAATTAGTTACAAAATAACCCCAAAACACATTATCAATTCAGTCAAGTATAAATAAGAATGCCTGATAGAATGATGTAAACTCGCATCATTTAAAGACTTAATTCAAAGAACTTCAAACGCAATCTAATACTATCAAAAGTTCAGCCGGTATGACGAAGACTAATAGAAAATTATTGCTGGAGTCCAATTTGGTAAATTGTTGTGCTACAATGCAAAAAGTAGGGAAACATCTTGTGCTATAGAAGAAGTACCCTGTTGAATTTGTAGCTTTAGATCAATTACTAGTGATCATTTTGCATCTATTGGTAGGAATCAATGCTTGGTTATACAAGAGTGTAAGTCAAGATAGTGAAGATAACAGGCCAAGTGATACATTTGGCCTGCTTTTGGGATGTATTTATGAGAGCAAAACACAAAAATTCAACACAAGCAAAGACAGAAACTGGCAGATGGATCTGTTTGGTAGTCTGAATTCAGTCAAATGCTATTCTTCGGTTGTAGTTTATCTGTATACAACTTGCCCACTTGACCAACACGAACTGTAATTGGCCCTTTATGCAAACTCTGAAGCTGATTTGGACTGTGCATAGTAACTACAACAATGCCAGTGTCTGTAAAATGTAAAATGTATGTGTATTGATGTACACGTATATCGAAAAGTCATGGTTTTAGGTTTTTCAGAACGGTGAAATAATACTAAGGTCACTTTTGAAAAACGCATTTGCAGTACTTTTTGTTTACAGGAAAGTTTCACCAAGTCGCTCAGGTATCTATGCAAAAATAAAGGAACCCTTCAAGGCATGAAAGACAAGTCAATTATCTGCAGTATTTGCTTTTCCATACACCACTCCTTTTTCTAATGCACATCATCCTGGTTATTCAAAGCTAAATTAAAAAGAAACAAACCCAAATATAGCCTGTCAGAATTTTTCCCAGTAAACTCTACCACTCTGGTGGCAAATATAAAAGTGCAGAACATCTGGACCACATGGCTGCCCAAACACCGCTAACAATGGTACATCTGTCCAGGCTGCCTTGAGTTCTCTGGAACAGGTTTTAAATTCACTCTACAATATAAACGTAGGCATACCCTATTAATATAAACCATCTTAGAACTTAAATCTTCATGTACAAAAATGACTAAGAATATCTAATAATAACTAGTGCAGTGCGTCAGTGTTTTTGTTGGTTTTTTTTTTTCCTTTTTTCATTTTCATTTAGAGTAACTAGGTATTATATGAAACTAGTTGCCGTACTCTCTGGTTGGTAAAAGAGATGCTGTGTGAGCTAACAGTAAAGGCAGCCTTTTTCACACCAACCATCTATTTACTGTTTAAAAGCCTTCAATAGAAAGCAAGCTCTGGGATCATTCCACTTCATTTCTGTTCATTAATAGACAATTAATATCACCCTCCTACATACTGGGTTCCGATTTGAGGACCTGGCCCAAGTTGCTAACGTCTGGCTTCCAGTGAATTCTGGGCCACTCAGAGCAATAAGCACTTTATTGCAGTCTCTAGTTCCATCATATGGACTGACTAGCTTCCCTTGGTAAAGACAAGGCTAGGATATTAGGTAAAGCACAATGTTTTACAATAAAGTAGAGCTTCACTGGTCAGCGCAGGAAATAAGCACTGGAGCCTGAGACATTTCATTTGGCTGTCCATCGTGTGGGAGAGGTGTGGCCCTCTGACTTCTGCAAAAGAAGAAAAGAAAAGCCACCCATCAATATTTGGAGCATGGGAGGTGCTTTTATCAGATCAGGAGGGATGGAAAGCAGCGCGTTGTATGGTTTAACATCCAACACTACAGCACCGTGACTCCTTGCTTGCTGCAGGTGCTCACATACTGAGGTTACACGCTCTTTTTAGAGGTATTTCTGCAACAGTAACACAGTACCCTGAGGAAAGCCTACACAATGCAAAGGCAGGAAAAAACAAGACATGATGGTATTTAACAACACAAAACAAAATGCACAGCTGAAGAGGAAGGTAAGAGCGCTCAAGTGCTGCTACTCATTTTGTAAGGGCTTCAGCCCTCAGAAGCAAGAGTATACAGCTCACGTGTGGCAAAAGAAGGCAAATGCACAGAGGGGTGTATCATGTTAATGCGAGCCAACAGCCAGGTTTTAAGCAATATGTAAATATACTCATCAGCGGAACTGCACCTTGGGATTACTCTGAGTTATGTGACTGATCACTACATCAGCCTAACACAACATCTCTTTCATTACTACAGCAATGTTACTTTAAAAATGATCCCCTGGCACAGGCTATCATAAAAATAAACTGTGGCAGAATTAAGTGCTGGAAATCAGTATCAGTCTTTGCAGCAAATGGACTTGAAGAACTCCTTTGCAGCTTGCCTTTTAAAATACATACACAAAGCATGTCACCACCTGTTTGTTTTTTTCTTTTCTTGGAGGCCCACTTCTTATTTACAACACAGCCACTCTACCTCACTCTGGCACAGCTAAGACCCCAGCAGAAAGAGAGGTATCAACGTGCTTTGCACAACTGGAGTGCAATGCAGCGGCCTTGGCACAAAACGCAGCTCAGGTTCACAGTGCTCAACCAGGGCATGCACAAGGTAAATAAAGCTAAACAGAAAATTTGAAATGAAAACCACACTGCCAAAAGGTTTCCATGTCCCAAGGCTCTGTGAAACTACTTAATAATTAAATTCAGACACTGAAGAAACACATCAAGCAAACCTCTAATTCCTTTTTCGTGTTTCCGGCTATTTGCAAATAAAGTGAGTTGCAAATAATAACAGTCAACAGAGTAGAAAACAGAGAAGCATCTAGCTGGTAAGATTTAAGTTTCTGTTTTGACTTCCCTTTGCCAAGTATGGGAGGGACATGGTTAACTTTGTACTGAGAGAGAGTCCTCCCCTGTTGCCATTTCCCCCAGGGTGATAACAAGCTGGCATTTCCAACTGTTGCGGACAGTTGCCAGTTTGGTGTTTTCGGGCCTTACAGAAGGTCCTGCATTATTTTAGCTTCATGATGACATGACAAAAGATGGGATTAAAAAAGGAAGACCGAAACAGAAGGCTCTGCAAAACATTTGGTCACTTCAAGATAGACAAGAGAAGGACAAGAACTCTTAGAGGAATAAAGAGGAAAAAAGCCACAGCAAAGTGAATCCTGTTGCTTTAGTATAATTCTGGTCAGCGTTAATGGCACTCAATGAAAACAAAAGGGTGAATGAGAGCAAAGTATAGTGCAGCACTTCTACAAGTCTCACTCTGCGGCTTCTGACTACAAAAAATGACAGAAACAAGTTCAGACTTTCATCATGGTAATAGACACTTTTTTTGCAATTCTGTGAGAAAAGGCCAGGCTGACTGCAGTGTGAAAACACTCCTCACCCAAAACAATGCTGTTTAAGCAAGACAAAGGCTTCTGTAGAGAGGAGCTAGCAGACAGGGTGCAGCTCTGTTTCTTGTAGGGTCCCTAAGCTCTTAAAAAGCCTTTCAGTGTTTCATGTCCAGCCTGAACACACAGAACTGGGTTCACCAATGGAGGCCATGAGAACAACAGTAAATTGAGATTGTAGATGGTTTCGTCAACTGCTGCCTTGTGGAGCTTCTTAGGCAGCCAGTAATCTCTCAAATGCCATCTGCAGAGGCTGTGATGGTTTCAGACTGGCCCAGCGCTTCCTCACTGACTTTCCACTGTGGGAGAGGATGGGGTTTCATCTCCAGTAAGCTGCACCATCAAAGAACAACACTGAACTACCAAGAGCCAAGGAGGACTTGCTGTCACTGGTTTCCTCTCATCACAGGTCTGACCATGCTGAACTGATTAAACAGCCCAAGTAACCTGTACATTCCCCACCTTATGTCTGTGGACAGTCTACTCAGTAACTGAGAGGACCAACCCAAACTACTGTGGCTTTCGATCACTCAGAGTTGTTCTGACCCATGCTGTTCTGCAGATGTTTTGCCTTCTACACAGCAAAACACAAGAGTAAAAATAACAAGTTAGATTCCTTCAGCCATGTTCAGCATAAAAACTTCATCTCAAATTGTATGAAATTTCCTCCAATGTCTTAGGCCACTGAAAAACATGAATGAGCATGCAACAGCTATTTAAATCCGCTATTTTCTGACAAATAGCATTTGATAATTCTCAATCATTAGGATCTCAAGCAGCATATGAACCTGTTTTTATAAAAAAATGCATAGGTAGGCTTACCAGGAAGGGTAATTTTACTGACTGCTAAATAAGATTACACTGTCATTTAGGTGAAGACTTAACACTATTAAGCAAGTGGTGTAAAACAGGCGTTTACAGAAAGCTGAGGAAGAGGAAACGCAGGCCAAATTAAACAGTCTGCTATTCACATGCTTTCTGAACAAGCTGTCCATCACACACTATTCACTTAGACAACAAGGGGAAAAGGAAACCTTACCTGTGCACATTTTCCATGGCTGCTACTTCCGCCAGAGCAGCTAAGCTAAAAAATGCAGACACCGCTGGCATATCTGATGTAATACTATGATTTTCTTCCGTCTCTGCATTTCTGGAGCATTCACTGTTGTAATCTGTTTCTGCACTTGATGTTTTTTGAAGAGTACTTTGTGGCAGCTCTTTTGGCTTCTCCTCTGCAAAGAAAGTAAGTTAAGTTTGCAGATATTAAATCCACAGCAGCCTACTGATATACTGACTAGTCTCATGTTAACAGAATCTTTACCTTTAGGACTTGGAATCTGCAAGTGTAATCTGATTCATGCTGCAACCTCTTCTGACCCAAGCTATTGGCAGAAGCACGGTACTAAGGTTTATGAAGCAATTTACTCATTTTGCATTCAACTGAATTTGATCTTTTAGGTCAGGTGAGAAAGCTTTTGTGTATGCAGTAGTCCTGAAAGATCACCTTAACTGCAGAGAACTCTGACAAGGACTCTGGCATTGACTGTCATAGTACAGAATTCACTTTTACAACCTATAACTAGGTGCAGTGTAATTTCTTTGCTGAATTGGAAACAAGTTATGAAAGGTAACCATTCTCCATTTCTCTCTACATCACTTCTCAGAGTGAAATATCCAAGGAGAGAAGAAACATCTGGTCATTCAAACTAAAAAAGTTGGTCATTATGGACTCGCTGATTTCCCAGTTGATTGATACCTGTATTTTAAAAAATGATCTTTATAAGTAGGTATGAAAACAAGCTAACTGAAAAACACTTTTCCTGATAGGTTGCTCGTACCCTTAAACCTTCTCCATTCAGTTTTAATAAAATTTAAACCCCAGTTTCCTTACCCAGTGTCCCTCCTGCTGGTGACACTCGACCATCTGCTGTTCGGACAAGATGTGTGATCTTAGTTTTCCTTGCTTTTCTTTTCTGGCTGCCAACTAAAGGCTCATGCATCATTGCTGGCTCTGGAGTGTTTAGGGCAGATATAGAAATTTTATTCTTCCAGGCAGACTCACTGGAATTTCTGTCTTCTAGTAGTATGGCTGGAAAAGGACAAAAAATGCAATTTTACATACAGAATAATTCAGCTACCAGGTATGCTCATTTACCATTTTGCATATTTCTTCATAAAACCTTTCCTCACAGGTACTCAGAGCACAACCCATGGCAAGATGTGATCTGAATGCCACAGGTGTTTGCAGGGGAGCAGTAGCATCTGCTCTTTAAGATATCCTGGAAAGTAGAAACCTGTGAGACGGGCAGTAGCACTTCAGTGGGAGCAGGGTATCAGTCTGTATAAAACACTCTGCAACAGAAGATGCCAGCAAGTAGCTAAGACACAAAATGTATTTTAGGAACAGTAAGGATCCTCATGTAAGCTTATCTTAGCTCACAGATGGACTCACGAGCAGAATTCAGGAATTCCTGACTAACCCCCAGTCTTACCTCTGTAGTCACTCTACCTCAGCTCCTCTAAGCAAAGGTAAATACTGCCTTTTTACAAAACAACAAACCTTAAAAACACCCCAAAGAGGCAGCAAGTACAAAAGCAGAGCTAGATCACAGCTGAAGACAAGAACGCTAAAAAAAGGAAGTAAGCATGGGATAAAATACTGTGAAAGAAATACTGCCCACATAAAGTCAGAGAGTGAGAAGGGTACACTTTAAATCTTTCTCAGTAGTTCCAGTGTTGGCATTTCGAAGAAGCCTTTTGACCTGAACTGGAAAATGATCCCAAATTTTCACTTGACTAAAGTTACTTTAATTTTGTTCACAAAGAAATTGGTCAGACAGCAATCGCAAAACATATTTATTTAAGCTTCCAAAGCCTAAGATCAGTGTGCAGTAGTCAATTGTTCTCAATTTGCATTGATTTAATAAGCCATACTGCTGATCCCATGGGGTATCACTAGTCCACAGAGCAAATATGTGACATCATTTTTCCTCCTGTGATAAAAGCATTATGAAGCCTACCCCATGTGCAATCAGTGTCAGTTAGGGTTAGAAAGAAGTTACAGGTAGCAAATGAAATGCCCAATTAATTTTTTACAGATGCCTGTCTAACCTGTTTTGAAACTGGGAACACACCTGGCATCTGCACCAAGTCCTTGAGGTATTTCTTCCCCAGTGTACTGCCATCCTGAATGATTAAACATTTTTTTCCTAATGCCTGCCTGCACCTCCTCTCCCCAGCTGCATTTTCCACTTGTTATTTTCTTTACTACCTGTCAGGTTATAGCCCATCTCTTTGCAACAGTCCTTTATATATTTTTCACAGTTGTTACTGTGTCTCCAGTTAGCTTTCTCTTCCCCCAAGTTTCTTTTAATCTTTCTTCCCATTTTAAAGACGCATTTGTTCACTTTTTGGGTGGTTGGACCAGCAAAAATTACACACACAAAACTGGGGCCAGAGTGCAAACAGCTGCTCTTTCAGAAGGGCTAAGCACTGAAGAAGACCAATTTCCTGCACTGGCTGTGTCATGCAGGAGCACCCAACCCCACAAACTGTGCACAGCAGCCAGGCAGTCTGCGTGGCCTCTGCCCTCTTTCATTTTAGTGCGTATTTCTGTTTATTGTTTGTTTTGTAGATTTAATGAGCTTCCGATTCAAAGATACAGCTAATAAAACCTTTATCTTTTGTGAGCTTCTTTAACTGTTCATTGTGTGAGGATTTGGACTAGATGAAGAGAATAGCTGCAGCACATTTTATCTTGTTAGCGGTTGCCCTTTGCTCTTTTGTTTTAATAGGAAGGGACCTTTTAATGTTTTATGGCATAAGAATACAATCAGGTCGAGTACATACGTGTAAAAACATTTGGAAACATTCCAAACAGTAATTTGTTTATGACCTTAATTCACCCTCCTGCGTTCTCTAGTAAAACATTTTTGAACTTGTGCATGCTCTTTATTTTGAAAAAAAGCACACAGCTTCAAGTAGCGCTTCTCAGCTATACCGCTAACCTTTGCAGAGCAGAGCTGTGCTGTAAAACTTACTTTTTGTAAAGAGAGCAAGAGAAAGCACAGAAGAAGATCCACAGTCCAATTAAGCAGAAACACCAATGACTGCAAATACGACTTTCGAGTAACTCAATTGGACTAATAGCGAGATGTTCAGATAAGCTTCCTACATTGAGATGAAAATCTTAATTGGAATGTATAATTAAATAGGCAGCTTTCTCTCTAGATTTCTTATTTGGGAATTCAAAATCGTTGATTATGTATTAATGTAATGGTCTGGTTGTAGTCCAAGACTATTTGTTAATTCTGATTTGCTCTAATTAGTACTTTGACAGTGCTGTCTAATTCTAGCTTGAATGAGTTTTATTGGTTTTAATCTTAGTACTACAACTCACTTTGGTTTTTTTACATTTAATAAAAAAAATTAAGATTATTTCAAACAATAAACAACATATGATAAAAAGCAACAAGATTTGGTATGTGTTTAATTAGATGTGTTGTACGTCAGGTCACTAGAAATCAACTTTATTGATCACAGCCGAGAGCTCCCTTTTACATTTTTCCTTTTCATACTGCATGTGTCAAAAAAAAAATAAAGAGCAGAAAAAAAACCTTGAAAGCCAAAATAAAAAGAGACAATATTAAAGACAAAAGGAGTATACGATGTTGGTGTATTTGACTAAGAAACAGCAGAAGGTGGCTCTACAAACTCAGATGCAGCAAGTATATTCCCTCTCCAGGTTTTTAAGTTTTTCCAATCTTTGAAATGAGACTTGAGTCCTTTTCTTCTCTAGCTCTAAAATAAGCTTATCATCACCTCATCATAACATTGCTACCATACAGTTTTGAAGAAGGAAGGATTAAAGGTGAACAATGAGTAGTTTTTCTGTGTGTCGGTACAGGGTGAATGTGGAAGGGAAAAGCATCTTTATTCCTCGCTAGCAGTCATAGTGGACATTGGTTTAAGAAATCATTTCACTGACTTCTTCATAGAGTATTATTCAAGCAGACATAACACCTAATTTGGAGGAAATCACACAAGGGCTTCACTCACAAGATCCTTTGCACTGACCTCCAGGAGAGAGAGGAGTCCATGCTTCAACAACTGTAAAGCTAAACCAGGTGCTAATAGGGGTCCTCCTGCACCTTCTTCAAGAGAAACAGCATTCCACTGCTTCAGCTGACAAAGGTATAACCATACAGATGCTCCAAATCAGGACTTAGCTTTGTTCTGCAGAAAGGATAGGGCTAAACAGGTTTAATTCCCTGTATTTTTCTTTAGTAATGCCTTTTAATCCATCTGACATTCATTCTGCTTCCACACCATCCTGTGTTCAAGAGCTGTCCCATGAGGATAGCTCAGTTAATTTTCAGGAACATGCTGCCTAGAAAGAAATGAGATTCTGCAGCTACTTGTGCAGTCCTGCCAACAGGTATCTGCACGCTCAGCTCTTCACATGACACTGGCACGTGCAGAACTACAGGCTTGTTTTTGCAAGCAGAGTTGAGAACGTGACATGAAGATGTGGGCCTTCTGCCATGCTTACACCACAGTGGCAAGAACAACTCTTGAGAGTCTTCTGACTACTTCTCTGTATCTAGAGGTCTACACCAGATGGTTTCCTGAGCTAGATTTGTTAAGGGTTTGCATGGACAATTTACTCTTTTCTGCAGGCATGCAGAGTACATGTAGCCTTATTTCCCCCTATATCTGTGAATAAGAAAAATGAAGTCAATTGAACTGACCTGGCACATCACAACAGAGGACAAGCTTTTCAGACTGAACCTCAGCAAAACACAGATTTAAAAGAATTTCTTTAGTGATGCCTATCTGTTATGAGAGAGAGCTGCAGAAGTTTAACCATGTCTAGTGCAGAATGAAGGCTCTGTGGGTCTAAGCACGCTGGTATCAAGAAGGGAAGCTGGGCTGTAATGCTTCAATGGTCTTTATGAAGTCAAAAAGGAAAAATCTAGCAAGGTAGAGCATAGCTTCAAGTCACCAGTGTCTAGGGAACCACTTCACCAAGGAAGTGATGCCAAGCACACTCTGGCCGATGTGCCAGCAGAAATACCAGCTCTTTGGTAACAGGACACTGCTACAATACTGCTTGTGGGGTCAGGCAGCACACGGACCTGCAGCAAGGGCTGGGGACTAACAAGCAGAGGCAAAGCAGCAGATGGTCAAACCAGGTGTACAAGACAGCTGCCTGGGTGGGAAGCTTTGCTGTGTGAGCAGCTCTGCTGTGTGAGCCTATGCTGACCCAGCCCTCCCCCAGCTGGAATGGATGCCCAAGGCACAGAGCTACTGGCTGCCTCTGGGCTGCAGGCCCCACACAACAGGGCCCTGATGTGTGCATGGGAAAGCTGCTGGAGGATCAGTATAAGGCACAGGTCTGCTTCACACATTAACTAGTGCTGAGACTGGTGTATATATTCATCTTCTCCCCTTCTGGTGCCAAGGTCAATGTTGCAGCTGGTTGTTACAAAAACCACGCACGAGCCCTCAGCACAGCTCACTAAGAGTATATGCAAAGAGGCAATTGATGTTTTTAAGTACTGCTTCCCATCGGAAAGTCTTGACAGAGTGGCAGAAAAATAAAAACTCTCAGCTGTGTGCTGTTCAACTTTTCTGAACAGGCACGGGTCCAGCTGTGCTTCTGTCAGCCTTCCTAAGGACGGGATGTATCTCTTAACATGCTGCATGACTGTGTACTCTCTGCTAGGAGGAGCAAGGGGTGCAGCATGTGCACTGCTGTTTTACTGGGCTGTATCTAGCTCTATAAACACCTGCAAACTCATAATATGGTGACTTGCACTGGTGCTGCTGTGTACGATGTGGTCAGATGGAGTCAAAATTCACTCAGATTTTCATATCAGAGACACAGACAACATGATCCTATCACATCAAAATACTTTTCTTTGTTCATAACACAGATGCACACAGGCACACATACTTTTCAAGATGACAAAACACGAAGCCAGCATGACCTCTGCTGGCCTTCCTAGTGTCTCCTCTTCATCTATACGAATATTCAAGCTCCTTCTTCCAATAAAATTAACTTATAAAAAAATGAAATCACATATC